TTGTACGTTTACGTCAGAGCAAATTTCTATCAATTTTTACTAATTTTTTCTATTTCTTTATATATCTACAAAATCACAGTTTATTTCTTCTCACTTTTGTACGTTAATGTCAGAATTATAAACGAACTTCATCTATTCCTAATTCTAAGCAATTGTTATCGATTTAACGTTTCCAGTGAACGATCCAGTCATCGCAGATGTAGCAAATCTAAAGTCAGCCTTTTCGTAAGTTAACGATTAAAGTGGATGTCGAGGTTGGAAGTTTATCGATAACCTCGACATACTGTATAATATAATCGAAGTACAAATGTAATTGATAAGTGGGACTTTTACATAGTGGAACGTACAGTGTAGAGTTTTAAATAATTGAATCTTCTTTTTTCATCCTTAACAAATTAACGAAGAAACTTATGTTTCATTACGAAATATATCACGATAGTCCACGTTATTTCGTATTTATGAATTTTTATCAAATTTTCAGATGGAAAAGCGTGACACTCGTTACCTTCGCTTTTAATCCTGACCTCAGGAACAAAAAAATGTTATCTCGACGAGTAGGTACACACGGTGGTTTACGCGTAACTATAAAAAAAGAGTACATATCGTAATTCTTTTAGTCGTACGACAAGTTCCTTATTTGTAGAAAAGGTGAAATAAAAGAATGTAAAATTTAGCTATTTCTCTCTTCAAATATCTTATCACATGTGTAACACATTCACTTAGATTAAATCTTGAATAAATTAACAATTGTATAAATTAAATTTCAAATCTCTGATGCTACAGCGTGTGACGTAAATTAAACATAAAACGCAAATGCTAATTATCAAATGGACGTTTATTGAGTTACTGAAAATTTTTCATCTTACTTTCATCGCAACACTTTCCGAATGATTCCAGTAAACTTTACAAACCGTATGCAATGTCATACTGCTCGAAATGAACGAAGTTTCTTCCATACATCTGCCACCAATAACTCTCATTCATAAAAATATCTATCGGTCAGTAGAATCTTTCAAATTCCACGCAATCTTTACGATAAGTAAATAATTATGTTAAACATACACTGCCGGCCAAAAGTTTGGAATCACTGTGCACTGCAAGTTACACAAAAATTCCCAGAAAAAAGTCAGCAGCTTTGAGAATTTTTTAACGAATTTTTTATCGTTCAAATTGCTACTTATCTCCACAATATCAATATCAAGTCTATGAAAAATTAGTAGCAGATTCAGTACTGATGAAAACTGGAAGATGATTCCAAACTTTTGGCCGGTAGCGTATGTAATCATACATTTCTCTCGTGTCCCTTACAGAAATACAATAAAAAAACATTTCGAAGATCAAAATCTGAATTGAACATCCGTCCAATTTCTGACAGCTGGACAACAAAGGAACCTATCGCACAAGTTCAACGTAATATCCTCATCGGTCCTAATTAACACTTCACCATTCATCGATTATATTACCATTTACATGATCACTGTTTCTTCATTCCTGTAAAAAATTCACACTGTCCATAAAATAGCGATGAAACATCGAAAATGCTACCACACTAAACGCACAATACTCCCTTTATCCCCACCATTCGACGAAATCGGAATACTCGAACGATCTAACAGGCAGTTGGTCCCCGAAAAAGTAGGTTAACCTGTGTTATCGTCTCTCGTCGGTGTATTTCAGTGTAAAACCAGATACCGTCTACTTGTAGTTGAATTATTACTTTCTGAAAGATTAGGGCTAATCAAGAAGGTCGTCGATTATCAGAGAAAAATCCCACTTTCGTTCCAACACACGCTTTTCGTCCACTTCTGGTTCGTTCCCGAAAATTCTCTGCCGTTCAAATCTCCGGCAACATCGAAGTTACAGATCCTCCCTATCGTATCGATGACTGGTCTCGTGATCTCAACAGCTGCCTCTCACGCTCTTGCCCGCCTCTGATTCGGAATCATGCGAATCGATTTCTACCACGGGATTGGTCGAGACACGCTCGACGCTGCGGCGCGAGATTATGCATCTCGACGATAATAAGCCTGTCTGCGACTGTTTAATTGGCAAAATCAGAAGCCGGGCCAAGATAGTGACTGATCGCTTCTCTTATCTCTTGGCAACTCGTGAACTTTTCCATGGATCTCTGCCGCTCTCTTGTCTCCTTTTTCGGCCTCCTTCCAGAGTAACTGGTTCCGTGTGACGGATTTTCTTCTGGCAATTACTTTGTCGGATGAAAGTGGCGGCTGCCTTTCGATCCACACTGATAGGTTAATTTAAATTACTAAGTTTGAACATTTTACCATTTCATGAGAATTTTTCTAGCGTAAAAGAATCCCGCGTAGAATACACGAATGAAAATTGTATCAGAAAATTTGTTAACGAAGTGGTACAATCTGATTAACATCTTCGTATTTATTCGAAGCAGTTCCTCAGCTAAGAAATGTAAAGTTGATCGTTCCTACTACAGCAGGACCTCCTAAGACGCGGGAAATATAACAGAAATTAAGTTCCACCGACATCGCGTTTTGGGCCAAATTTAATTAACGCAAAATTCCAAAATTCCAGATTCGCAATTTGTATGTTCTTTTCTTTTCTTACCGCGTTACATGGAGACAGCAGAAACTTTTTGACCGCGTTATGCGGAGACGGTAGAAATTTTGTAACCACGTTGCATGGAGACAGTAGAAATTTTTTAATCGCGTTATACGGAGACAGTAGAAACTTTTTGACCGCGTCACACAGTGTCCTACTGTGCCGAATAAAAACAATGGAAAAAGCACGAGAATACACAGAATCTACATTAAGATCGACGAAACGACCCAAAATCTTAATTGCATTTTAATCGAGGCTCGTGCAGCAAATCGGATCGGAGGTCGTCTCTTCGGCGATTGACAGAGCGACGCCTGTTACGTAAAATCAGGCCGAACGCAAGGCCGAAAAAACAAGGCGGAGAGAGACGCTTTCTCCGACGGTCGTCGTCGTCGTGCTCACCGGGGTGCTTTCCGAGAAAGCTCAAGTACGGGTATGAAAGTTGTTTCGAGTACACCGCTACTTTACCCCGGTGGTGATAAATAATGTCACGCCGACGAGTGAATGCGTTTATTCTCCACGGTCACGCCGCGATATTTATGGAAACGTCGTAAAGCGACAATTTCTCGGGGTGGTGCACCCTCGACCATCGCCGCTCCATTTGCTTTTTTCCCCACGTTCCGAAAGAAGAGGAAGGGGTTCGTCCGTGTCGGATATCGTGTCCTCTTTCTCCAAAAAGTAGCCTGAGCCCTGTGGCCCTGGAGAAAAAGTCAGTGAACGAAATGCCGAGAAGAAACCTTACCCACGGGCTCTGGGGCTTTAAAGTAATTTATGCCTTAATAGGACGAAGGTCAGCACGAGAAGCAAAGTGGTACCATCTCGTATATCTGTGTGTTTGCGTGAGTGTGTGCGTTCTGTAATAAAATAAGTGGTTCCCGGAGATCCTTATTAGCAGGGCGGGTGGAGAAGAAAAGAGAGAGAGAGAGAGAGAGAAATGGAGACGATCGTAATCGATATCGTGCAACAGAAGGAACGAGAAATCCCTTTGATGTAATTCGGCGCGGACGGTACTTTATTAGCGTCGATTATTACGGGGCCGACTGTCAGTTACGGTACAATATACGTAATGTACGTGTGTCTCGGTGGTACAATTGAGATGGTCTCTAGTAGTGTAATCGCTTCCTCGTTACTCGGTCAGAGGGAGAAGAAGCGAAAGATGTGGATATGATTGGCAGGGTGTACGAACACGATTGTGTAGGTGTAACGGGACGCAGGTGACAGGAAAATTTGAAAAGAATGTTATCTGTGTGGTAACGTTGTCTGATATTTAAGCCTGACTGAAAGTGTGTCAAATTTTTCCATCACTACGGTAGAATAATCAAAGAAGACATCATTCGCGATATTTATATTCCACGCGTGTTCGTAGAGATAAGGAATATTAAGGATTGCTTTAGAAGACGTTACTTCGAGAAGTGTCGTGACATTTGTGAAATTATCAGCCAGGCAATTGACATTGGAAGAGAGACTTCAATTCTCGTCCTTCGAGTATTTACTTTACGATACATATTTAATTCGATATCGCGCACGATACACCAATACATCGAATATGTTTGCATATTCAAATAATTCTTTTTTACACGAACGTCAAATGTTTGTTTATCGAATACCTTTAAGTAAGTGTATAGCGAGTTCGTTTTTCTCACTCTCGTTTGCGTTTTTCCAACTGTAGATTCGAGTTTATTTGTTCGCAATCTTGGAATAGCATTTTTTAAATAAAATGCTGTAAACACTTTTTTAAGGGGACAAAAGTGAGTAAGATGTAAAATAAGTCACATCTCCTGTGAAATGTTCTATTCATATTGCCAGCGTTATCGGAATATGTAAGAATCGACGTTACAAATATCGGAGTTTCCATTACCAAAAAATATCTCTGATTGCAGAGATCCTATCTCCCTGTTCGATCCGATACAGAGGATCGATCGTAAGAAGAAACTATTCGGAACATTATCAAACATGGATAAACCTCGAGAGATAACATTTACCCATCAAACGTGTATTTTTCCTGCAACATTATCAACTTTGTTATAGAAGACAAACAAAATCGTGATCTCCTCTTTCCTGTCTATTGACAAAGAAAAAAGACACCTGAACTTGCAATTTCAAACAAAATAAATAAACCTGTTTTTGTTTATTTATTTACCTTTCTTACTACACCGGCGATTAACATAAAAACGAGACCAATCGGAATAACAGCAGAAAGAGGGTAAAGAGATGTGAAAATTACCGTACAATTTGTACGAACTCGAACGTAACAGAGAAATTTCTTTTATCTGACCGTTATCAATCGTTCGCAGATTTCACAGATTTATTGTCCCAGAAAATGTGGACGGATCTCGAGCAGCGGTGAACGTAATCTACAATTTTCGCTGGAAGCCTCGACTCGTGGGTACGAGATGGGTGTCAAGCACCCACGAAATCCTTTCGGAATGTTTAATTACCTTATCGTCGACTACCTGGCCCACCACGCGTTGCGTATTACACGGTGTCTACCGATAGAAAGCGGCCAAGTTAAATAGTCGAAAAAGTAGAAGAAGAAAGGTATTTCTGGGAACGCGCGTACAAGATCCCTTTTCTCCGTGGGCCGATTCGCCGTGGAATTTGGCAGCCCTTCTTGGAAAGCGGCGCCGAATAGATAGAACGTAATTCTATACGAGATTACCTTCGTGATTGTCTGTGTCCACCTCGTTATGCGAAATTCCTATTTGTGATTTCTATTAACCGACGATTATCGCGATACGTGATACTCTTCGATGATATCTACATATTTGAAAATGATCAAGTTGTTGAAAAAATGGCTACAACGATGATTTAAAGATATCGAACAGGTTTGAAAAGGTAGAAATTATCTTTCATATTTCACCAAAAAGGTTTTCAAATATAATTTTCCCCGTAACTTTCGAAATCCGAAAGATTCCTTCAAAACCCGGTTAATAACAACACTCGAAAATCGGTCGTACGGTACCGAACGTGATAAATCGATCGATCGGCCGAAAAAGGGGTTAATTACCGGGCATCCCTACGAAAAATCTCAAACAGCCAGATCTCCTACGATTCGAAAGTTTAACAGACGATCTGTTGCGCGGACCACGATTCCAAGACGGCGCTTATTCACCATAGAGAGCCCCCATTACTCTTCCCGTTCGGTCCCACCGAATGAACCTCATATCCGAGGCCGGGACGTTGCGAAATTCGGGAACCCTTTTTCTCGGTATTCCCTCGGATGCCTGAGACACGGTAACCTTGCGGCCAGAACCATCTACCTGATTCCCGGATGCTCGAGAGACGAAGCAGAGAAGCGTCATCGAATCTCAATGGACCGAGGAACGATTATTTCGAGATTTATGACGCGACATGTGGCTGCAACTTCGGGTAAAAAAATCAGGCCCAACTGTGTGCCTTCTCTCTCTCTCTCTCTTTCTCCGGTGAAACTCTGTCGGTTTCGACCCTCTCTCGTCAGGCTCGAGTGGATGGTGTGTCTCTGAAGTGACACTTCGGGGCGTTGCTCGACACTTTTATGGTGGCCTACGCCGGCATGCTTGGCTTTCGCTCGTTCTTTCGGACGATACTCGAGCGGGAACACACTTGTCGAATCTCCGAGCCGATGACGAAGTTCCGCCTCGCAGAGGAACGCTCTCTACTCGCCACCATTTTGCCGCGTCCCAAGCTCGTCCACAGCCAGTGCCTCTTCTCGGAGCAACTCCGGGGACGAGTTTTGGAAAAAACTTTTCTGCGCCTGCTTCGCGAAGCCTGTGTTCTTGGATCACACTCTCCGTTCCGGTCGTTGAACTGTCGCGAAGTAAACATCTTCGCTGAAGTGAAGTGCTGAACTGTGACCCTTCACTTCTACCCGACAATTGACATTGCAAGGGCTGTGTAGACTCCGATTTGACGACTTGTTTGCGAAATTGACTGATACGAAATGTGCAAAGTAAGGTCAGAGAGGTAATATAGTGGAAAAAGGGTTTGAAATATGAAAAATTAACGCTCCTTCCCAAGTGTTTGGGCAGCTGATTGTTTCTTGAGACGGTTATGCATGTTTTACTTAGTTTAGGTGTTACTTGTGTCTAGAATGATTATTTGCAATGTTGACCGAGGAACAGACGTGTTTCTCAATTTTGAAGTAATTTTAACCCTCTCGTTGATATTGGAGCCTACGGGCATTTTGAAATTTTGCTCACACTATACTGTCGAAGCCTTTTGGTGCAGTTTTACTTTATTTTGATACTTATTTTGATCTTCTATGCACTTCCATCTTAATTTAATAAACCGAATTTTAAAACAATACGGCCAAAACAGTAAATTTTGCAGGCACGGTTAAAAATTTGCCTTCTGCCACACATTTAACCCTTTGCACTCGAAGTTATTTTTCATTCATATTACCAGCAACTCGAAGCAATTTCAGTGGAAAGATCATATTCACATATAAGTAAATGATATGTGTACTAAAAGAAAAGTCATTGTTGTATGTTATTGTTTCTTTAATTGATTATGGATACAAATGTTATAATATATAAAAAAACAAAAAATTATAAAATTATTACGATTATTATTATTATTTTACGATTTGTCTTTGTCCTTATGTTATGAACTGAAAATTATTTGCATTGTCTCCTGTACTAAAAGAAAAGTCATTGTTGTATGTTATTGTTTCTTTAATTGATTATGGATACAAATGTTATAATATATAAAAAAACAAAAAATTATAAAATTATTACGATTATTATTATTATTTTACGATTTGTCTTTGTCCTTATGTTATGAACTGAAAATTATTTGCATTGTCTCCATAGCGAAGCCCTCGAGTTTGAATACAAATTTTAAGCCCTCGAGTGCAAAGGGTTAAGTATTAAAATCTAGAGAAAGGGTTAATCCAAAAATCATGTGCTAATTGATCGAATATTTGAAAAAATTTCAGTATTCCTAACAAAAACCTCCCTTTTTCATATCTCTATTCGTGACAGATAGCAACGAAGTAGCAAGAAATTTCTACTTTCGATAAAAAGGAAGATAAAGGAAGACCGGTAGCGTTCAGATGTCTATCAAATTCGAAATTAAAATATATATAAATCCATCGGTGGCGCCAAATAAAATGTATTTTCGTCGTCGATCTAGATCAAACAAAGATTCCTGTAGAGTGTATTAAATAAATCGACAGTCAACGAAAGATATGACGACGCCGGTTTCTCAGAAAAAGATATAGATTGGGCAGTTCTACTTGGCTTTAAAGTTTAAATAGAAGCCTAAACACCATTATCGCGGAAACCTTCTAAAAGTTTGTTAGGCTCGAATCGAGATTACCGGTTGACCGTCGTCGTTTTATCACCTGAGACCCTTTTTTTTCACTGCTATCGATGCATCGATTCCAAGAGTTTCGACAAATATTATTCAATACTCGTCAAACATGTGTCCGATCGTATTTTCGGTCGAAATTCGGGTATTTAAGGCTGCTCAGCTGCGTGTTTAATATTTTCATGAATGAATTCAAAGAGACGAGAAAATGTAGGGTAGAAATGAAGAGTGAAACGATACGAGAGGGGCTATCGTTAAATTCGAAACGCTACTTCAATTAACACGTGCGATTGACATTACCTTGAAACTTTATTTTCGGACAAGTGGTTATAATGCGAAGATAAGCGACACGATTAGCGGCGATTCTTTTCGCGGAATTTCGCAACACGTGAATTCTTCAAACCGTACAGGGTGTGTCGGTGAAGTCTTGTTGACGGCGTGCAAAAAATTTCAGCACATTTTCCTTTGCAACGTTTCATCGTAAGCGAGAAATTGTAAAATCGCGCATCAGCATGCAAAAGAGATACCTGTTTCGCTTATCAAGATAGATGTTAGTTCTTCGCGCTTGAAACTATCTTGGAGAACTATAATTTTTCCTTCCTTTTGCCTCGTCTTACATCTTGCATTGGCAGAAACGTTAATAACGGTAATAATCGTAACACTGTTTGGGCGAATTTTTAAATTCTTCATTCTCAATTTTCACGAAATGAAATAACGAAGTGGCAGCAAAGAATCGTTACTTTTCGACTGTAATTTCGATCGAAGAACTGGAAATACGGAGCTTCGAGGCCTGCACAAAACGAAAGTGCCGAGTGAAAAATGTGGGGTAACTATTGTTCGCGAAAGAAGTGATTAAACATTGCACCGCGTACAGTTTCGTGTTAAAACGTGGCTTGAAAATCAGGGTATTGTAACATCAATCACCTGTTGAGAAAAGAATTATTCCCCATGACAAGGCTTTATTCTTTTCCTCGAAGGATTTCATACTGAACGCACCGATCCTTTTCTTTCATTACGCTCTGCTTTTGTCCGCTCCTCTTTTTTACACTCTTAATGGCAAAATATTTTGTTGCCGATACTCCTCTCGATACCGACAGACACTTGCAATACTGCAAATCATCGAGATCGATTATCCGTACTTTATCCAACGTCTGGGCACGGTCGTAAAACGTGATTTCGTAAAAAAGGGTATATGCATATGACACAATATCTCGTGTTTTGCTTACACTTTTATGGAACTTTACACTTCCAAGAAAGAAAATTACTTTGTTAACAATTGCTTAAAAAATTCCTCGAAGTAGCCTTAATTTGAACAATTTTCTTCTGATGTTGAAGTAATTTTTTAATTTTAAGTTTGCAAAACGTATTTCACTCTGTGTTGATGTCTAATTATTACCATCACAAAGTAATAATAAATATTGTGAAATAAATGAATAAAAACCAAAACGATTCCATATTCACCGAAACAACTAAACCTACTAAGCTACCCGCATAATAAGAACACATCGACTTGATCCATTTGAAATAGTCAGCAATCGAGCAACATTCTGTAACGTTTCAGAATTCGTCCATTGTCTCGGGAACAGAAAAATTCGAAAATGCAGAAAATCACCGAGGACCACGCCTCGGGACGAAAGACAAACACAAGGTTCTGTTGATTTTCAATGGGTCGGCAATTTCTACGAACCGGAGGAGGTGTTACCGTCCAGTCGTTTAAACGAAAATTGCACATTCAAGTTTATGTTAGACACCCACTAACAAGTAAAAGGAGCAAACTCGACCGCCGGGGCTACCTTCTATGCTAGGCGCTGTGTGAACGCTACCACCTAATCCCGAGGTAGTAAAAGGATTTATTGCGGGTACTCCTTAGTACCTTGTACCGTTAGGTCGAAGAAAGGTACCTGTGGCCACCACGGACCAACCGGGAAAAATTCACGACCTGTAGGTACGATCTTTCGTACTTCGTTTAGCGTCTTTAAAATGTTCCGCGCGTGAGCACACGCGGAAATTCCACCAGGTAACTGTATTCCACCAAATAAATCATTGTAACTCTTATAGGAGTGTACACCAAGTATCCTCAGATTTACTATATTGGGGGGTGATTTAGCGGGCAGAGGATTTTGTAGAACGAAGTGCAATCAAATTTATGCACGCTGTTAGACCAACGTGGCGTTTCAGATGATTGTACGATGTAATTGCTTTAGTGTAATTGTTAGTCTATGGACTCGTCGATTGCTGGGAAATCTTTGGTAAAAGGTGAAAATTTGACGCGTGATTATCGAAGGAACTGATTGTTTTGTTTCATTTTTCTTTATAGAAAGCGGTATGTGAAACATATTGAAAATTGTTGCGGACCTAAATTTGAAAATTTTTATGGAAAAGAATTTATAGTGCTTCACTATGGCTTGAAGTATTCATACGCAAAATTTTTAGCAATAAATTTATATAAAAATTTGTCAATCGAGTAATTCCTTAAATAAATTCAATTTTTATGATTTTATTCGTGGAAAATTTTCATTTTGAATAAGGAAGCACAGTATCTGTATCTGCATGAAAGATCAACTAAAAGCTTCCTCGAGACACGTTGAATTCATGCCTCACAGGGAGGGCATTTACACGAGTTAGGGCTCGCTCCATCGTATTTTGGCTGCTCGTTAGCAGAACAATTGAAAAGCCACTCGAACGAGAAGGAAGCAAATCCCTCCCGCTAGCCTGGCGCTAACAATTAACATGCGACCCGAGGAAACTATCAACGGAGAGTTTCGTCGTGGCCAAACGCCACGGCAGCAATTTGCCTGTAAAATTTCCCTTGAAATTTAAACGATCGGCACAGTCTTTTTCAACACTTTCATCTACTTTGATAGAAACGACGATAATTCTGAAATACATTGAAATTTATGTGTTCTACTGTCTACAACCGGAAAGGGGGTGATTCTACGTGCAAAAATAAGTCGAAACAGAGGAATGACATTTTTTCATACGAGATTTCGTTTTCGAGAAAATCAATTTCCAGAGAAAATTTTTTTGTGGCTTCCCACTCGGTGATTTTTTGGAACGAAACGTTTATTTTCATGTATATTTTGTTATAATTCTTTACGTGAAAATAAATGAAAATATTCTAACTTATTCAGCAGTTACATCGATCTAGTATCGTTACCTCAGTTTCACGGCTAGCTCAGCGTTAACACTTTCAGGACGACAGCAAAATTCGCAATTTTATAGTTCAATTCTAATCTGTTCAGCTCTTAAATATACGCGTTTTTCCATAGAATACTATAGAACAATGTGGTCATCGGTGTGTCACATCGGAAAACATGTAAGAGCAACACTCGATATGGATCAAATCCTCCTGAACATGTCGAAATTCCATGAAACTTAGTAACGAAACATCATTTTTCAATTTGCAAATTTCAAAGCATCACTTGAAACATACTTCAACGTTCGTCTGCTACCTAATCACACCCACATACATCGAGACATATTTTCAACACCGAACAAAAGCTTCTACCAACAAAAGAAATTTCAAACTGACCACTATCTATCGAATCCAAAAAAAAAAAACAACTGAGAGAGAGAGAGGGAGTGGCACAAAAATAGAATGAAATTCTGTAGACTTGCGTTCGCGCGTTTCAGTCTGCCGGAACAAAGGCCGGCCGTCATTCGCATGCATTCCGAGGCTGCGGCAGCTTCCGTTGTAGAAAGACAGCGGGGGACGGTCGGTGAATCAAAGGTTACGCGATTGCACAAATTCGCGTAAGATCCACACGCTCCAAGGATCGACGTATCCGATGACGTCACCG